TTTTTATAAAAACAAACTAACTAAAAAATTAAACACTTGAAAACATTGTGAATGTTTATAAATAATCATCATTCGACCATTTTTGCTCGTCACTGTACATAATATGTACTTACGTTATTTTGGCGGTTAGGGCTCGATATTATAACTAAGTCCATATTTCGAAGATTTCTCATTTTCGTTTATTACATTTATAGAAACATTCTTAAAACAGTTGGCGATGAAGCATGAACATTATTTTTATAAAAACAAACTAACTAAAAAATTAAGCACTTAAAAACATTGTGAATGTTTATAAATAATCATTTCGACCATTTCTGCTCGTCACTGTACATAATATGTACTTACGTTATTTTGGCGGTTAGGGCTCGAACTAATAACTAAGTCCATATTTCGAAGATTTCTCATTTTCGTTTATTACATTTATAGAAACATTCTTAAAACAGTTGGCGATGAAGCAAGAATTCTAAAAGCTACATATTTAATAAATACACAATGTACCAAAGTTCCAAGGATATTATTTTTTCAAGCCAACTGAATATTTTCAACTTCTTTGATTAAATCCGTATGCTTGAACTCATCTGGCTTTTTGTTAAACGTTTCCAAGAGTTTTATTTTGCTTTGATCACTTTTGTAATAAAACATTTGCAATTCATTGGCTAAACATTGTGCTTCTTGTCCAGTGAGGACTTTGCTATCATATTCACCGCGCATTAGAATGATACCTTTATCCTTCATTTCAGTGTAGTGCACCAATGTTAAACATTCCGGCGCATTTTCAGCATGCACCTGCCAGATAACGGGTATCAAAAGTCATGTTTAATCTGACGAAATTTTCACCACTCACCTGGTAGGCTAGCAAAGTTGTGAAATGAACCGCATTAGCGGCAAACTGTAGCATTATAAACTCGAAACCTTCGCTACGAGGAAGTGGAAGCAAAAATATGGGATATTGCTTCGCGCGTTCCATAAGCGTATCAAATTGGTTTACGGTTAATGTGGCCGCAAGCACATCCTTTGTTTTATGGTATTCGTACCAAATCTTTGAGATTTCCTCAGCCGTCTTATCTTCCATTAGCTCAAGTTTCATAATATCCGCCAACTTCTTATATGGTATTTCACTGACTTGTTCATTCTTCCGTGATTGTTTTGGATTGAGCAACTCCGAGTATGTCCTATGAAAATAGCTTGCCAATAAGTTGACGTTAATACATATAAGGAAAAATACGCTTACCGCGCTTGACTTTTTCCTTCCTTTATAGGGTGCACGACTTTGTCAACACGGTCTAG